TAGGATTCTAGTAATCTATTTACCACCTGTAGTGGTTTTTAAATATGTCCACAAGTTATTTGATAATCCTCCCTTCAAACAGTCGAGCCTAATTTTCCTCCCCTGAATTGTGGGCTGTACTTAGTGACTTACTTCTAATGAATAGAATGTGACACAATTGATCATACTGACATCCATTATTAGAATATAAAAGGCATTGTGGCTTCCTGAGGGAAGCCAGCTGCCCTGTTACAGAGACATTTAAGCAGCCCTATGGAGTGAATCATGTGTCAAAGAATGTAGGCCTTCTGGCAACAGCCATATAAGTGAACCATCTTGGAAGCAAATCCTGCAGCCTCAGTCGAACCTTCAGATGACTGTAGTGATAGCCAACATCACCACTGCAACCTCATGAAAGACTGAGCTAGTACCATTTAGCTACACTCCTGAATTCCTGACCAACAGGAACTCTGAGATAATAAATATTTGCTGTTTCGAGCCACTGAATTTTAGGGTGACTTGTTACACAGCAATAGATAACTATAATAATACACAAGTCAATCTTGCTTTTGGACATAGCTCTAAACCAAATAACACTAAACACAGTTCTATTTTGCTTGGGGGGTTGGCTATCCCTCTTCCAACCTCCAAAGCAAGACATTCACCTATTTTTTCAACCTTGAGAACCATTTTCTAAAAGCCATGAGGAATAACCTAAATTACATTGCTAGGAGCAAGAGAAAAGCATGAACATATCTAGCAAAATAAAGTTTCGGCAATAACAGTGATGGTAAACTTGCAGAAAGACTCAAACAGTTTTAAATAGTTCTTTTGATCACTTTGCAGTTGAAAGTCAGAGCTTTGTAAGAATTCATTAGCATTTTAACTTACAGATAGAAACCATTCTTGTGGGCAGAGTCAAAATGAAACCCAACACACATTCATACCTTACAAGAAGCCGCCAAAGGTGTGAAGAGCAAAACTGGGATGATTAAGTTCTGGAGGAGTGACTCTCCCATAGGCATGCCCTGAAGAGTTACTTCAAGATAAAATAACTTCCTTTCTATCTGCATGGTGTTTTTCAACAACTGAAATGATAAAACATTTGGAGTGTGACCTAAATGACTCAGGTTCCTTCCTGTCCCAAGAGCAGGGACATTGTATTCTAGCTAAGGGAGTAGATAGACCATCCCATATTCAAATTACTTAGTACCACTCTTTCTGTGAGCTTAGCTGGAAAAAGGGAAATCTGTGTGTGTGTGTGTGTGTGTGTGTGTGTGTGTGTGTGCGCGTGTGTGTGTGTTACCTCCACAAAGAATTTGAGTAAATATATAATAAAAATGTAATAAACTGGTAGAAAAGTATACATAGTAAAAATCTAGAATCAGGGTGAATTTAACCAAGAGTAGAAGGATGAGACAATACTAAGGCCAGAAGAGGAATACTTTTTTCCTAGCAGTTTGTCAGTAGTCAGTACTCATTTATTTGAACACTATTAAGCAGCTACTACAAACTAGAAACCAATGATAACAAAAAAATATGCAAGGCACAGCCCATTGTTAAAGATGCTTGCTGGGCACAGTGGCTCACGCCTGTCATCTCAGCGCTTTGGAAGTCTGAGGCCGGTGGATCACTTGAGCTCAGGAGTTCAAGACTAGCCTGGCCAACATGGTGAAACCTTATCCCTACAAAAAAAATACATACAAATTAGCTAGGCATGGTGGTGCGTGCCGTAGTCCCGGCTACTTGGGAGTCTGAGATGGAAGGATTGCTTGAGCTCGGGAGGTCGAGGCTGCACTGCACTCCAGCTTGGACAACATGGTGAAACCCCATCTCTGCACAAAAATACAAAAGTTAGCCCAATGTGATAGTGCATGCCTCTAGCCCCAGCTACTCAGGAGGCCGAGGCAGTAGGATTGCTTGAGCCCAGAAGTTCAAGGCTACAGTGAGCCATGATTGTGCCACTGCACTTCAGCCTGGGCAAGAGAGTGAGACTCTGTCTCAAATTAAATAAACAAATAAATAATAAATAAGTCTTTGTAGGTTAGTCAGCGTATGTGCCACCAAAATTGTATATGCTTGCATAGCATCACACCTGACAGCAATTAACTTAAGTATACCCTTAAGCCCTCTTCTTAGACTGAAGAGTCATGGTCCAAGAAGAATTTGTGTTTGGAGCTCCGAACTAAGGAATCTGGGAGTGGCCAATCCTGAGATTTATTCCTTATCAATGAAAGGCATCTGAACCCCTAGCCCATCCCTTGGAATGCAGGCCATCTAGGGGATCGAGGCCCTTTGTTCAAGGTTGGATGGAGGTTGCTGGGTGGAGGGTGCCGGGTGGTGGGTGCTAAGTGGAAATGCCATGTAAACAGCATGCTTGTTACAAATCGCAGCGGTTATCCTGTCCAGCTTGCCGTCACTCGACCACCCCCGTATGTAAGTTCTCAATAAGCCCTATGTCTCATTTGCTAGCTCCAAGTTTCTTCTTCAGCCTCTAAGGCCTGGTAACATCCCTATTGGGGTCACCAGGTGTCCAGTTCAACAACATATTCATCAACAAACATGTTCACCAAAAAGTTGCACTGTGGGTAATAGCCTCAAGCTGGCTTTTATCCTGATGCCCACCCATAGCAGAATTCGAGAAGAAACTGCGGTGTCCACACAATGAGATACTACACAGCAGCAATGAGAATAAACAATCGACAGCTACCCATAACAACCCGGAGGGATCTCATAAACATAATATTGAGTGGAAGAAGCCAGATAGAAGAAGGTACAGTGGCCGGGAACCGTGGCTCACGCCTGTAATCCCAGCACTTCGGGATGCCAAGGCAGGTGGATCACCTGAGGCCAGGAGTTCAAGACCAGCCTAGCCAACATGGCAAAACCCCGTCTCTACTAAAAATACAAAAAAAAAAAAAATTAGCCGGGGGTGGTTGCGCAGGCCTGTAGTCCCAGCTACTCCGGAGGCTGAGGCACAAGAATCGCTTGAACCCGAGAGGCGGAGGTTGCAGTGAGCCAAAATCATGCCACTGCACTCCAGCCTGGGCGACAGAGTGAGATCTTTTCTCAAAAATATATAAATAAGTAAAATGTAAAAGGGTACAGGCTGCATGATTCCATGCAGGTGAAGTGTGGAAGGCCAGGCTAACCGATGTAGTTACAAGTCAGGAAAACAGTTGCCCTTTGTGGGGAGGGGTGTAGTGATGGGAGACAGCCCGAAGAGCACCTCTGGACACTGGGAATGTTCTGTTCCTTCATCTGGGTGTGGCTTATGTACAATTGCAGCAAGTCTCTACTTTATGAAAGTCCATTGAGCCATCCACATTTTTCTCAACCTTTCTTTTTCTTAGAGAGACTAGGTCTCACTATAGTGCCAGGGCTGATCTTGAACCACTAAGTTCAAGCAATCCACCAGCCTTGGCCTCCCAAATTGCTGGGATTACAGGTGTGAGCCACCAAGCCCAGACTTAGCCATATACTTAGAATACTTGCAGTTTTATGTACGTGTGCAGTACTTCAACAAAACGTGTTACAATAATAATAATAATAATAAAAGTCCGCTCTTCAATGGAGTGGGTGGGCTAGTGAGGAAGGAGTGGTGAGTGTGGAGAGCATGGGAAAAGCTTTCTGGAGGCGGTGAGGCAAGCCTTGTCTTCACAGGTAAGTCCACCTTAGCCTTGGGGATGGATGAGGGAAGGTTTTCAGAGACAGGGGAAGCGCAAAAGCAAAACCAGAGAGGCCAGAAACAGCCTGAGCCCTGGGAACTGCAAGGGAAGAGTTGCAAACTAACAGTGGCCAAGACAGAGGGGCCAGCCTCAGGCATGCGCTGTCAGAGCAGCTGCTCCTTCCCCATGCTTACCAGTGTCTGCTCGGGAGTCAAAGCTGGAGGGGACAGAGTGACATTTGCATTCTCAAAAGCTCCCTTGATGGCCCAGCACAGTGGCTGATGTCTATAATCCCAGCACTTTGGGAGGCTGAGGCAGGCAGATCACTTGCGGTCAGGAGGTCGAGACCAGCCTGGCCAACATGGTGAAATGCCGTCTCTACTAAAAGCATAAAAATTAGCCAAATGTGGTGGTACGCACCTGTAGTCCCAGCTACTCAGAAGGCTAAGGCAGGAGAATTGCTTGAACCCGGGAGGCAGAGGTTGCAGTGAGCTGAGATTGTGCCATTGCACTACAGCCTGGGTGACAGAGTGATACTCTGTCTCAAAAAAAAAAAAAAAAAAAATGCCAAGCTCAAGCAGTGGGGTGGGTGGCGAGTAGCACCGGGCAGGACTGAAGGCTGAGAGAACCTCCCAAAGTGAGGTCCAGGCCAGAGGCAGGGGGGCGTGGCCCGCTGGGCAATGGGGCTGGAGAGGAGCAGAGAACACGAAGGAACTGCAAGAGGAGCTATAGAAGCTTCGAAAGAATGTCAGGGAGCAAGGAGGAGCATGAAAGATGGGGTATTTTTAAAGCTTCTAGTTACACACAAAAATAGGGTCTGTTCAGTTACCTATAAAGGCAGCTTCACTGAATTCTTAAGGACAGAATCAGTCATCAAAGCGATGCCCTGATTTTTGTGTAAAATAGGGCTTTTTTTTTTTTTTTAGACAGTTTTGCTCTTGTTGCCCAGGCTGGAGATCACGCCATGACACTATCTCGGCTTGCGGCAACCTCCACCTCCCAGGTACAAGTGGTTCTCCTGTCTCAGCCTCCCAAGTAGCTCAGATTACAGGCATACACCTCCATGCCTGGCTAATTTTTTTGTATTTAGTAGAGACAGGATTTCACCATGTTAGACAGGCTGGTTGCAAACTCCTGACCTCAGGCGATCCACCTGCCTCGGTGTCCCAAAGTGCTGGGATTACATATGTGTTACAGTGCGCGGCCCAATAGGACTCCTTAACTTGTAATCTGCCGGTAGAATTTTGGGGACTTGTGAATTTGGGTCGGAAATATTGGTATTTTTCTTTTCATTAACCTTGAATTGCAATTCTGCATTTCCCTTGGTCATGCATGTAAGCAACAAATACGATCTTTTTTTTTTTTTTCAAGTCAAAGCTGTTTAATTATCACTCACATTATTTCATAGAAAAAGGAAGGTCAGTGTCGTATATTTTAAAAAATCCAGGTTTGTAGATGTCGCGTTATTTACATCTGGGAACAGCGGTGTCCCCGCATCAGGCACAGCAGCTGCACTTATCTGACGCCCCTTTGCAGATGCAGCCCTGGGCACACTTGGCACAGCCCACAGGGCAGCAGAAACAGCAACTTTTCTTGCAGGAGGGGCATCTGCACTCTTTGCACTTGCGGGAGTCGGCGCAGGCGCAGGAGTCACCAGCGGTGCGGGAGCAGTTGGATCCATGGCGAGCTGAAGAGGCTACTGGAGTCGGGACACGGCTGCACTCTAACTCGCTGGGACTTGGAAGAAGTGTGGTGAAATACAATTGTTTTAGCAGCACCAATGACTGACACCATTCGAAAGCACGGAATTTTCACGTTCTATTACAGTTGATGCTGATATCTCAACATACTGATTGCACTCATCACGAGTTCAGAGTCATATTTACCAGGCCTCCCGTTAGATCTTATTACTTAATTCGCAATTGATCTTTGCACATCTATTAGTATTGTGGCTATCTATGCCATGTAACAAACTACCCCCAAAACTTAGTGGCTGAAAACAGCAACAATCATTTCTTTTGCTCCTGACCTGGCAGTCCGGACAGGGCTTGGCAGGATATTTCCTATCTATTCCAGGCAAAGTCAGAGGCCTCAGATGGGATGACCCAAATGACTGGAGGCTCCTTGGGCATCTCCACCAATCTGTCCCTCTAGGCAGTCTTCCGGCCTCTCTCTGTTGTTTCTTCAAGTGAGCTCCCTGGCATGGTAGCCTCTGGGTAGACAGACTTCTTACATGGTGTCCCACAGTCCTCAGAAGAGTGCTCTAGCAAACAAGGAAGAAGCTACAAGGTGTCTTCTGACCTAGCTTTTGAAGCTCCAGAATGTCACTTTTCTGCCATGTTCTATTGGTCAAGTAAATCTCTTACTAAGGTCAGCCTAGATATAAGGAGACGGGACACCTCTCCTCTCACTCACCTCTCAATGGGAGAAGTGTCAAAGATTTTGTGGCCACAATGATTACATCACAGATATGTGGTTTTTCACTTCTTTTTTTGTTATTGTTTTTGTTTTCTTTCTTTGGATTTTTTTGAGATGGAGTTTCGCTCTGTCACCCAGGCTGGAGTGCAGTGGCGCAATCTCGGCTCATGGCAACCTCCGCCTACTGGGTACAAATCATTCTCCTGCCTCGGCCTCCCGAGTAACTGGGATTACAGGCATGTGCCACCATGCCTGGCTAATTTTTGTATTTTTAGTAGAGATGGGGTTTCGCCATGTTGGCCAGACTGGTCTCAAACTCCTGACCTCAGGTTATCCGCCCACCTCCGCCTCCCAAAGTGCTGGAATTCCAGGCTTGGTCACCGTGCCCGGCTGTTTTTTATTATTTTGACAACTGCATTTCAATATAATTGGCTTCTTTTGTAACCCTATTCTTTCCTTTTTTTCCTTTTTTTTTTTTTTGAAATAGAATCTCACACTGTCGCCTGGGCTGTAATGCAATGGCAAGATCTTGGCTCACTGCAATCTCCGCCTCCCAGGTTCATGCAATTCTCCTGCCTCAGCCTCCCAAAGTACTGGAATTACAGGCGTGAGCCACTGTGGCTGGCCCTGTAACCCTATTCTTTTATTCTATGCTTTTCTTTGTTTGTTTGTTTTGAGACAGAGTCTTGCTCTGTCATCCAGCCTGGAGTGCAGGGGCATGATCGCTGATCACTGCTCACTGCAGCCTCCACCTCCCAAGCTCAAGTGATCCTCCTGCCTCAGGCTCCTGAGTAACTGGGACCATAATTGCACGCCACCATGCCAGGCTAATTTTTTTAAAAAAATTATCTGTAGAGACAGTGTCACCTCATGTTGCGCAGGCAGGTCTTAAACTCTTGGCTTCAAGCAGTACTCCAACCTCGGTCTCCCAAAATGTTGGGATTACAGGCATGAGCCACTGTCCCCAGCCCATATGATCTCATTTAAACCTCACAGCAATTCTATAGGGTAGGCATTATTCTTATTCCAGTTTACAGAGGAAGAAACTGATTTGAACTCAGATCCCAATTGAAGGGTAGATCTGATTATTATTCTCTTCACTTTTGTTTTTGTTTTTTTCTATGACTTGTTCTCAGCTTAACTTGTGATCTCCCTGTGTGCATATGTCTGCTGTATCAGTTAGTACTAGGGTTGGTTATGTGACATAGAAGGCCTATAATAATAGTTGAGAGATGCTGATTTCTTCCACTGGAGGATGTATAGGGCTGATATGCACTCCATGTCGGGGGCCTGGTGTTCTTTTATTGTTCCAGCATCCTAAGCATGATGTGGCTACCTGAGCTCCAGCCATCACGCTGCCATTCCCATCTGTAGGATTAAGGAAAAAGGTGTTACTGTTTCATTTCTGCTTCTTGCCCTTGTCCTCAAACCCAGTGTCTTCTGGGATCTTCTCCCTGTGCTTTGGTGAAATATATATTTGGTGTTCTCCTCATCTCCTGGCATACAACTCCTGAAATCCTTGGACTCTCCAAAGGGATGATATTTTTTGTATGCTAATGAGATCACTGATGTCTGGCAGCCCCTATGCAGCTTTGGGATGGGGACTGGTCACCAGAAAGACTAAGACAAAATTAGAGGGTTGGGACTTTCTGCCCTACCCTTGTCCTCTGGGGAGGGGAGAGGGGTTGAAGATTAAGTTGATCACCAATGGCCAATGGTTTAATCAATCATGCCTACATAAAGAAGCCTCCACAAAAACCCAAAAGGACAGGGTTTGGGGAGCTTCCGGATAGCTGCACATGTGGAGGTTCCTGGAGGGTGGTACATCCGAAGGGGGCATGGAAGCTCAGAGCCCCTTCACACATGCCTCACCCTATGTATCTCTTCTTCTGTATTCTTTGTAATATCCTTTATAATAAACCGGTAAACGTGTTTCCCCAAGTTCTGGGAGCTGTTTTAGCAAATTAATTGCACCCAAGGAGGGGGTCATGGGAATCCCAATGTAGGTAAAACAGCCAGTAGGTAAAACAACCTGGAGCTTGCAACTGGAATCTGACATGGCGGGGGGGTCGGAGAGCAGTCTTGCAAACTGAGCCCTCAATCTGTGGGATCTGATGCTGTCTCCGGGTAGCTAGTGTTGGAACTGAGTTGGAGGACACCCAACTGGTGTCCACTGCAGGGCTGATTGCTTGCTTGCTGGTGGGGACAAAGCCCCACACATCTGGTCACAGAATTCTGTGTTGATTGTTATGGTGTGAGAGCAGAAGATAAATAATCTGTTTTTTCCACTCACTCTCCCACTAGGCGGTAAGCTCCAGGAAGTTGGGAACTGTGTTTGACATTGTACCCTAGCTCCCAATATGTTGCCTGACCCCTAGGAAGTGCTCAGTAAGTAGTTCCGGGATAAAGTGAATATCAGCGTGCAGGCAGCTCTGCGACTGTATTCTATTAACTGCCTCTGTCTCTTGCCTCCTGCATCTGCTTACAAGGGCCCTTCTCCTAGGCTTTGCTTTTGAAATGCCACATCCAGGCCGGGCACGGTGGCTCTCGCCTGTAATCCCAGCACTTTGGGAGGTTGAGGTGGGTGGATCATGAGGTCAGAAGATCGAGACCATCCTGGCTAACATGATGCAACCCCGACTCTACTAAAAAATACAAAAAAAAAAAAAAATTAGCCGGGCGTGGTGGCGTGCACCTAAAGTCCCAGCTACTTGGGAGGCTGAGGACAGAAGAATCGCTTGAACCTGGGAGGCAAAGGTTGCGGTGAGCCAAGATCGCACCACTGCACTCCAGCCTGGGCGACAGAGCAAAACTCTGTCTTGAAAAAAAAAAAAGAATGCCACTGTCCTTCAAGACCCATGTATTTTGTCACTTCTCTAGAACGCATCTGCCGTGAGTTGAATTGTGTTTCCCCAGTATTCACATGTTGAAGACCTCACCCCCAGTACATCAGAATGTGACCTCATTTGGAAATAGTGGGTTGTAGATGCAATGAGTTAAGAGGAGGTCATGCCGCAATAAGGTGGCTCCTAATCCAGTATCACTGGTGTCCTTATAAAGAGGGGGCGTTTGGAGACATATGCACACAGAGAGAAGACCACATGAAGATGAGGGCAGGGCTGGGCGCAGTGGCTCATGCCTGTAATCCCAGCACTTTGGGAGACTGAGGTGGGCGGATCAGTTGAGGTCAGGAGTTGGAGATCAGTCTGGCCAACAAGGTGAAACCTCGTCTCTACTAAAAAAAAAATTAGCTGGGCATGATGGCAGGTGCCTGTAATCCCAGCTACTCGGGAGGCTGAGGCAGGAGAATCACTTGAACCCAGGAGGCAGATATTGCAGTGAGCAGAGACAGTGCCACTGCACTCCAGGCTAGGTGACACAGCGAGACTCCGTCTCAAAAAAAAAAAAAAAAAGAAAGAGGCCAGGCGCAGTGGCTGACACCTGTAATGCCAGCACTTTGGGAGGCCAACACAGGCGGCTCTACTGAGGTCAGGAGTTCGAGACAAACCTGACCAACATGGGGAAACCCTGTCTGTACTGAAAATACAAAATTAGCTTGGCATGGTGGCAAATGCCTGTAATCCCAGCTCCTTGGGAGGCTGAGATGGGAGAATCGCTTGATCCTGGGAGGCGGAGGTTGTGGTGAGTCAAGATTGCGCCATTGCATCCAGCCTGGACAACAAGAGCAAAACTCTATCTTAAAAAAAAAAAGAAAGAGAAGAAGATGATGATGATGATGACGATGATGAGGGCAGAGATCAGCTTGATGCTCCACAAGCCAAAGAACCCCAAAGATTGTCAGCAAGCCACCAGCAACAGGGTGAGAGGCACGGAACGGATTTTCCTTCATAGCCCCCAAAAGAAACTAACCCTAGTGTCACCTTGATCTTAGACTTCCAGACTCCAGAACGAGAGACAATAACTGAGACAATAACAAGTATCATAGATATGGTACTTTGTTACAACAGCCCCAGGAAACTAATATAAAATCACACACCAAGCCATTTAGAGTGCTGGGCTCTGCATTCCCCTGGGCCCTTTCTTTACAAGCAGGTAGCGAAATTAGCTTTGGACAGCGGCCTGTCTGCCTTAGTCCTCTATGTAAGTTCCTGGGGAATGGGCATTATGGGTCCTCCATTTGTGTCTGATAGCCTGCAATTCACAGATATTTGTGAATTTGGCGGACTCACAAAATTGTGCAGAGCCCAGGACATAGGCTATGTTTGAGGTGGTAGTATGACTTGGCCACTTCTTTTAATTAAAAAACAGAATCAGGCAGGGCACAGTAGCTCATGTCTGTAATCCCAGCTCTCTGTAGG